AGCTTGAGAACGGCAAGAAATAAAAATTAACTATTATGCAAAGAACAGCTGCTTTTGTCTCTGCCTGCTAGTTATCTTATCATGCAAAACAAAGTGGGAAGTGGGTAACACTCAGCACACCCAGACTCACATTTAAATTTGCCAGAAGTTAAAGCAAACATTTCTGTCTAGAATCTCACGTTTATACATGTAAGTCCTTTATAAACCTGGCCTTACTGAATTCAACAAGGAGTGCTGGTAATTTTATTTTCATTTGAAAATACAAACATTTTTGCACCTAACCCATGATATTGTCACCTAACATGAACAAACAAAATGAGCCCAGAATTGTACAAGTTCCAAATTTTGGGTCGATATTCTCAACCTTTTGTTTTGGCTCCAAACATGTAAAAGAGCATTACTTTTCCTGGTTGTTTGCAGATTCAAGCTTAATATTGATATTCCCAAAGGGAGAACACAGGCTGGTGCTGAGGTCATTAGTACAAAATATAGTCAGTCAGACTCTGACAGAATTAAGTGTTCATGATATCAGCATTTTAAATACAGACTAGCAACAGAAAAACAGCAGTCATTTCCAGAAAATATTATTTCTGAAAATGTGCTTGTCTGTAGGAAAGCTCGTTCATATACTACAAACACTGTATATTTGTATATTTTTGTATGATGAATTTGCATATTACGATTGGTTCTCAGTACATTCGACATAACAGGAAGGAAGAGTTACTTAAATGGTCAGTTCATGTGAAATTGTTAGCATCTGCAAATTAGGAAATTTAAGGAAGTTCAAAAGCAGTAGGGGAAATGATAAAGTGACTCACTTTCTGACTTGCAACTTTTGCTATTGAATACTAGTACACCATAACAATTGTTACATGGCAGAACAGAATATCTAGCTGATGTCTGCATGACCACAACTGCAGGTTCAAGTATTCTTGCTGCTGCGATCCAAAATCAAACAAGACAAAGGAGAGGGCTTTTTTTGCTTTTTGAAGAGGAGGTATGTCTGTTTTTGTTACTGTCTTTTGCTTGTTTCTTGTGACATAGATGGTTAGCTGCATAATACAAATATTTGCGATGGCTTGTTAGACTGGAACACTTTCCAAAATTGGTTTGATCTCTTGTTTAAGAAAAGTAAACTTTTGATGATACATTAGCTTATTTGATAAACAATGTAAATCTCCATAAAAATTTTCAGAACTTTCTGCAAGAATCAAGGAAGGCTATGAAATATCTCTCATTTTTGTTGCGCTATTCAACACTTTTTATCTGACTTTTTTTTTTCAAAAACTAAAAGAAATGCTATTTTCTGTTTCCTTTCTAAAAAGTAATTTAACTAGAAATATGTGGATTACTATCACTTGTAAAAGAGTAAACTACAGAATTGCTGAAGTTGGAAGTCAGCTTAGGAGACCTCCTAGTCCAATGCCTCCTGCTCAAAGAAGAGTCAACTACAGCAAGTTGCCCAGGATTGTGTCTGTGGATTTTGAATATCTCCAAGGGAACAATAGCCGTTCTGGATACCTGTTCCAGTGTTTGACCACCCTTGCAGTAAAAAGTTTTTCTTATGCCTAAGTAAGATTTTCTATGTTTCACTTTACCTCATTTTCACTGGATACCACTGAAAAGAGTCTGGCTCAGTCTTATTTACTCTCCTAGGAGATATTTACAGGCATTGATAAGATCCTTCTCAGCCTTTTTTTTTTTCCAGGCTAAACAGTCCCAGTACTCTCAGCTGCTCCTCTTATGAGAGATGCTCCTGTCCTTTAGTCACCTGCACAGCCCTTTACTGAAATTGTTCCCTTGTGTTCATGTCTCTCTTGTGCTGAGGAGCCTAGAACTCTAGATATGACTTCAGCGGAGGAGGGGGAAGATCACCTACCTTGACCTGCTGGCCACATTCTGCCTAATGCAGCCCAGGACAGCACTGGCCATCTTTGCTGCAAGGGTGCATTACTCACCCATAGTCAATTTTTTTGTCCACCATGTCCTCTGAAGAATAAGTTTCTGTGGAAACTGCTTTAAGTATACCACAAACTTTAAACATGATTGTATTTTCCTTCTGCTACCTTTCCAATTCAGATCATTCCAGAGCGGATTGGAATAAGACCATGTCTGTCTACAAGAGAGCAAACAGGCAAATGTTTGCTAGTATATGGCAAAAGAACATCCATCTTATTAGGGATATGCTCATTGCTGCTGAAAAAAACATATTTCTGGTAACTTTAGACAAAAAGTTTTACGGTAATTTAAACATCATCTTTGATAAGACTTTGCTAGTGAAAAATGAAGACATAGCCAACAAAAAAAAAGGGGGGGGAGGCATGACCATAACTCTGAATAAAAGAAAGACAGAAAAGGAGATTCATAGCTCCAAGGCCTGATGGCATCAACTGTCTCACAGCCACATAGCTTAGGTGAATGAATTAGATTTTTTTAGGTTAAATTTTGCTTTATAGAAAATCTGTTGTCGATAGACTAGGTAGAATAATTTGAAATTGAGCAAAGGAGTGAACTAAGAACTAAGAGTTGTGGAAAAACAGATGTTTGGGTTCCCACTATGGCCCTCTCCCATTTAGCATTGTGGACTCATGCTGAAAAACCAAGACATATGTGAGTGTCTGGACAGGAGAGAAAAAAAAAGAAAGGGGTAGGACAAAGAGATGAGAAGGGATGGGAATTTTCATCCTCGTAGTTCTTATACTAGTTGTTTTTTTACAACTAGTGGAAACACCACTTATGCAAGTGTATTAGTTTTTATATTGGCCTCTTCCTCTAAATAAGTCTGACATGGCTTATGCCTTTCTTCTGATGGCTTCAGTACAGAGGTCTGTTCAGAGAGCAGAGAAAGTTTGACTGAGTCTGTCTGTGGGACACCAGTCTAGGGGAGGGTGGAGGCCACAGTGTCATGGAGCTCCTACAGATGCAGTGGCAGAGCCATTTGCTTGGCCAAGCAAGAGAGGACCAGGGGACCTGGCTGTATGTTGGCATCTGCAGCTCAGGAATGGAGATATGGCCTGACACTGATTCCTTCATGCATTATTAATTTTACAAGTCAGTCAACCAGGAGACACAAGTCCATCAGGAAGCAAACGCCCTAGTTCTGGAGTAGGAGGAACAGCTCTTCCTGATGAGGAAAGTGAGTTTTACAGACCCTGTTCTTCCCACTGCAAACCCAATGTCATGTCCAGAGTCTGAAAGTGAAGCTGGCAGCAAGCACTTCTCTAAGGAGGATGAGGTCTCTTTGGCAAAGCCACAGATGAGTGTCTCCATAATAAAATATGAAGAGGGGTTTGAGGGTGTCATCATACATTCAAAACTTGCAGGTGATTTTGACAGGAGCCATGAGGGCAGACCGCTGAAGACAAGAAGGATGAAGCAAAGCAACGTAGGATGAGGAAAGGAAGGAAAAAAAGATTCAAAAAAGTGACTGAAGAGAAGGTAGAAGAAGGAGAAAAAAAAAATATCACATGAAAGGGGCAGAGAAAATGGATGGAGCACTCCAGGTTCCTGTGTTGGGGAGATTACTCATAGCACGTGAAAGTGCGCCCCATATCTCACAGAGTATTTCAGTGCCAGCCCGCTGTACTGTTTCTACTAAAGCTTCTTCAGTATCACTTCCCAGCAGCTGCGGCCACATCCTTGCTAAACATGATGATTTACAAAGAAAAGATTGATGCTTCAGAGATAAACACAGAAGTATTAGGCTGCAGTGAAGAGTCTGTCTCTGCTGCAAGCCCTGCATCTCTTTCCATCCCAGAGAGATTCTTAGAGACTGGGATGGACAAGACATATTAAGTCACTTTGCACAAAACATGATGTGTCATGTGGAAATAAGCAAGACTTCAGCTTGCTTTGAGAATATAGCTGTTTGTTTTGTTTTTTTTTTGTTCACGTCACAAATGCAGACAATTTGGAATATGTTCTATTGAAAAGACTGTACAAAATAGAGGTGTTTCTTTTTTCTTTTAACTTTCTTTTTGGTCTGTGTTTGTAAGAATTTACCTCATAGCCTTAGAACTGATGTCAGAAATACCAACAGTCAAGAAAATTATTATCAGGCAGTTAGACTGCTAATATATAGTAAAACAAAAATTTAATCCATCAGTGTTACTTCTTCACATAGAACGGAACAGAAGAAAAAGTACCATGAGAAGAAAAATCATTTCCAAAGAATTTTAACTTCCTCTGAGAGAAGAAAACAGGATAGTACTTAAGCTTCAGATATCAGTGCTGTTAGGAGGTGATACCAGTGTTTTTGATAGCTCTGGGCAGATTTCCACACCACATGACTGAATGTGAAATTATTTTTTGCAGGCACCATCATTTCTTCATTAATTTAAACTCCGTAAAATGCTCTGGAACATCTGACATGGCAGCAAGTAAGTTCAGCATTGGAAGCAGACTGTTCTGAGGTGAGGAATATATCTAAAAAGAGAAAGAGAAGAATCCAGTCTAAAAAGAGAGAGAGCCACTTGGCATAAGAGGTAGAAAAATCTATTAAAAAGAAGAGTACCTTAAGCCTCACGGTCTGAATGAGATAAGGACAACTCTAGAAAGCACAGCCACGAAATACCTTGGAGAAGGGGTACTCAGTGCCAACTCTCTCCCATAAACTCACTGTCTACAGAGAAATCTCTCTGATGCTTCACCAGAATAGTCACACAGGCTGTAAGACACACACAAAAAGAAGCAAATAGGGAAGAGAAGCATGGTCAGGAGTAAAATCTGTGTACTGCTTACAAAATGCCTTTAGGAAAAAGGACATCCAGATCAAAGAAACTCAGGAAGGGGAATGGAAAATAAGATACAAAACGTAGTAAGAATTTTATACAACAAAGATGATAGAATGGTTTTGAAAACAAATACTGAGAAATTATATAGTTATATTAAACATAAATGAAGCTCTTCAGAAAGTAAACTACACATACACTTTGTCATCTCTTTTTTTTCCCCCTTTTTTCCCTGATGGCTTCCTCTTGTCTTTTTCCAAAGGAGAAAACATGATTGAGACTCCTAGACTTATTTGCATGATTTGGTGGATTGCTCTATTATTTCATCCCTTGCATGCTGACACCTATTGTACGAAGTGTGAGTAAAATATGTTTGCAAAAATAGTTTGTAAAACAGGACTTAATTTTTCACTTGTGAGGGGTATTTGCAATTAATCTGCCAATTACCATCTTAGATCTGCTAGAGACTATCCTTTGCACTGAACAAGAACAACCATATATCCTTAATAAAATTATTCTATAAAATTTTCAGTAGAGACACAAGAATCACCTATCACAAACTTGACATTGAACTGGAGAAAAATGGAACTGTCTTGGGAGAGCAGCATGAATTTCTCCGAGTACACTTGTGTTGTGGCCACAAATATGTCTTCTGCACAGAATACGGTAAACCTGTTATTTATTGAGGATAAATGATGGC